GGTCGCAGACGCCCGGCCCTGCCTTGCCCGGACAGGAAGTGGGCCCAGGTTTCCCACTCCTCGGCGCCCGCTTCTTCCTCCGCGGGAAGGGAAGGGCCGGGGAGGCCGCGGGCCCGCCGAGGGGTGGCCAGGCAGCCGGATATTCCCGGGGTTGCAGGCTGTGGCCCTGGGGCGCTGAGAGTAGGCCAAGTTCGGTGCTGGGAGGGAAGCAGCAGGCCGGCCTTCTCACTGTCCGGAGCGCCCTGCACGGATGAAAAATGAATGGACGGTTAATCAAGTATTTATCGGGAGCTGGCAGTGGACTAGGCATGGGTCAGATTGCTGGGATCATGCAACAAACAAAAAAGACCCTGCCTGGGGGAACCTGCGTTCCAGATGCGAGCAGTGGGTGGATTGGTGCATTTTTGCTCTCTCGAGACCCTTGCGTTAGTGTAAATTAGTTTTACACGTCGTATCCAAAGTCTGCCTTCAATATTAATTGATCTGAAGAAGTGAAAGAATAAACACTGAAGAAGGAAAATAATTTTCCTATTGAAAGTTTCTGTTTAATATTACGTTTTAAAAAATACTCCAGGAAAGGACAAAAGGTATTTTTAATAAATTAATTTATATCGGCAAATATTGGACTTATTCCCACCGATAGTAAAGGAGTCATTTTTTAGGCGTACAAAAATACAAAATGAACAAAGAATTATTAAATTCCTATTCACTCTTTGATTAAGTCCATAGTTATTTCACTTCCAAGTAAATGCAACTTCTTAAAAATGACAGTGTATAAAAAGATGGCGACAACTTAAGGGCGTTCTTAGATAAATTTTAGATCCTAAGTTTCTTGACCCTTCAGTGTTTAACATACTGTCTTTGGTCTTTAATTCCTTTAACTTAAGAAAATGGGAAAAAAAAGGTAAATGGAAAAAAAAGAGAGAGTGATGCCTATATTGGACTAAACCTCATTTAACTTCCAGACTGACCTTCCTTAAAGTTGAATCTTAGTATTATGAGGGATAGAAAGATCAAGAACTCTGGAGCATCTCAATTTCCCATCTGTGAAAGGTGTTGCAACTAATCTTAAATGAATCAGGAAGCTTTTGCTAGAAATAAATGATAAAAAGATTTATTCAAAGTCTTAGGGTTTGCAAATCAGAAACACAACTGAGTAGAATCCTAAGTGTTCCCAAAAAAGAAAAGCTGAGGGATCGTATAGTAAAAAGTACTTTCTTGAGAAGAATCAGTCATTCTTAGCCTTTGAAATGGTCCAACGTGGTAATCCTCTAAATGACTGGTGGTCTGGTTAATGGACCTGGACTGAGTAGTCTGGATACGTGAATATTCTTTTTTCCTCTTTCAGGGAGTAATCAGAGGGTTATCTGGAGGTTTGATGTATATCCAGGCATTGATACAGGACTGGAAAGTTCAAAAGTTCAAATTTCCAGGCTTGTTAAAACATGAATAGAATCATTTCCTCATACCTCAATCTACTTGACTTCAGTAATTTAGCAACTTGACTATAGTGACTCCATTTTATTTCTTTATTCTTTAGTGTTCAAATTTTCAAACTGCAGCTACATCTATTAGGTTGAACCCTATGACATTGATTTCTGTATAGGTCAGAATGAGAATGTCAGCATTTAAGATGGTTCGAGCTAGTAGTTCCCTAGTGTAAGTATGGGAACCATTTGTAAGGATGTTGTGGTGTGAATTTCTTGCAAAGGTGGGATGTTGTCATCCTCTTAGCATTAAGGGTTGAAGCTGAAAGTCCTGGGAGAAAAGTATTATACCTCGATATTTATACTTGAGAAACCTGAAGCAAAGGGAATGGCTTAGCCAGTGCTCATGCTGCTGACTGCCAACGCTGGGCCCTTTCACATGTGATTGAACGATTAGATATAGGGTTCTGAGATGATTCTGATAGTTTGATATTTCACTACTTTGAAACCCCATAGAGGAAGAATTAGATGCACACTTAGCCATCACAGCCATCTCTAAGTCCTAGTTTCAAAGCCATCTTCAACTCCAAATGGATCTCTTCCCAACCCCTCTCATCCGATTAGTCATGGAGCCTCTGAATTGTTACCTCAGAATCTCTCCCACGAACTCCCACCTCCACCACCTGGCCCTCACTCACTACCCAGGGATGCTCTGCCTCTAATATCATCCCCTTTAAAACATCATTCCATTAAAAATGTCAAGTGAGCACCTACTAAGTGCCAGATACTGCTAGTTACCAGAGACAGATAAGACAACCCGCGTTTTGTAGTTTTAAAATATGTCCTCAAGTTCTTTGGTATTACTCCCTTCAGGAGATGACTATCAATCCCCCAACCCCCTTGAGTGCAGGCTGGACTTAGTGGCTCACTTACAACAAATAGAATAAGTGATGGTGCAACTTCCAAGACTAGGTAATAAAAAGCACTTGGTTTTCTCCTTTCTCTCTTGTCTTGGATCACTTGCCCTGGGATAATCCAGCTGCCATGTTATAAGGATACTCAAGCAACTTTATGGTGAGGTCTACATGGCAAGGAACCAAGACCTCCTACCAAAAACCAACACTTACTTGCCAGGCTTGTGAGTGAGCCACCTTAGAAGCAGATACTCCAGCCCTGGTCAAGCCTTCAGATGACAGCAGTCCCAGCTGACCTCTTGACTGCAACCTCGTGAGAGACCCTGTGCCAGAACCAGCCAGGTAAGCCACTCCCAAATTCCTGACACACAGCAGTTAAGAGATTATAAATGTTTGCCGTTTTAAGTCATTAAACCTTGTTGTCATTTGTTATGCAGCGAGAGGTAACTAATAACCCTGCTGAAGCTTATAATCTTTTAGAGAAGACAAAGGCATCATTACAATTCACTGTGATGATGGTGAATCAAAGAAGAACTTGAAATATATATAACCTATGAGTGCTAAGAAAACCTAACTTAATTCTGTCTGAGATATAGGGAAGAGGACATTTGGGCTGGACCTTTATCTAGAAGTATTTTACCAAGAGAATGCAGAAGAGGGGTGGGAGATGAATTATGAAGACTTAAGGTAGAGCTGGATTGTAATGGATTTTGAATGTCTTGACATAAAATTATGACTTTCAATGTATACATATATCAAATTTTCACACTGTATACTTTAAAAACCTTATAATTTTAGTTTTCAATTACAACTCAATAAGCCGAAGAAAAATTTTTTTGATTGTGACTATTCTGCAAACAGTGGAAAGGAATGGGAAGTTTTAAAGCATAACCAAATTTGTCTTTAGAGACGTGCAAAGGGTTAATTAATTAGCTATGGTAACTACTACAAGGCATACAGGAGTTGGAGTAGTAAAAACTTTGGGCTAGGATGACATAAATGATGGTGGGACCATTAAAAAAATGGAACAACAAAGGAAGAACAGGCGAAGAGAGAAGAAAATGGCCTCAGCTTTGAACAAGCTGGGCTTGAGGAGTCATGGGACATTCAAATTGACACTTTGACAGGTCACTTGGAAATTGCTGGGTTGGATTGAGGAAGGGAACACCGGAATTAAAGGCATTTGTGGTTCATCTACCGTGGGACCGTTGAAGCCATAAGGTTAAGTATGTGTTCCCGGGAGAGTGTTCTGAATGAGAGGTCTACATAATCCTAGGGCACCCCAACACTGAGAAGAGAGGAGGAGGAAAAGGGAAAAGTGAGTAGAGGAAGCAGTGACATATGCATTTCACAAGGATGTGTTAAATCAGGCAGAATGAGAGTAAGACGAAGCCTCTAGATGCAGGCATCCTGGCCTTTGAGAGCCCACCCTTAATTGGACATTGGAATAGGCTTAACAGTGGGTAGAAAATGAGAATAGGAGTAAAAGCAGTCTGTTCTTTTAGAAAATTTGGTAAGAAAAAGAGAAATGGATGGTGTTTGAGGGGATATAGAGGATCTAAGGAAGGATCTTTGAATTATACTTATTTTTTGGGATTGGAGCATGTTTGGAGACAGATAAGAAACCAGAGAGAGAGAGGATTTGAAAGACTGAAATTATTAGAAATATGGGAGATCACTGATGAAACCATGGAGGAGAGTAGAAGGTGACTCCAGCAACAGGAGGAAGGAAAACTCCTGAGAGGGTGGGGCAGGAACCTAGGAGTGGGTGAATATATAGTTACATCTAGAGGTAGAGGAGATAATAACCTCTCGTGTTTATATTGCACTTTACGGTTGCCCTGTGAGGGAGGCAAGATGGTTATTACCAACTCCTTCTTATAGCTGTTCCGAGACACATGAATGACCAAGGGCCACCTAATTAGTGGGTAGCTGAACCAGAACTCAGATCAGAAGGTCAGCATGAAGTTTCCTTTGCTGGACCATATTGTACCCTTTCAGGCTTCATAAAGTATGGCACTGATGAGGTAGGCACCATCTGTCCCTCTCTGTGTCTGTGTTCCACTCACAAGGCACTCGTTCCATGTCCCTTTGCCTGAAAAGTAACCATCCTTCAAGAGAAAGAGCATGTACCTCTTCCTTCACAAAGCGGTCACCGCGTGCACACCTCTCAGGTAGCAGCAGATTTTCCTACAATCCGTGTGTTTGTCTGTGAGTTTTGCCCCATTTTGGATGGTTTGACCCTTCAGGGCAGAAATCTAGCCATTCACCATCATATTCTAACACCATCAATTGTCCCACATGGTAAGTTTTCATCAAGTGTTGGTCGAATGAATGATTGAATGAGAGATGCTGTGCCATGATTGGCATAAATGTGACCACTAGCCCCAAGAAGTGAAAAATGTATTTTCTCACATAACAAGATGGCCCCTGTTAGTTTGTTCCCAGGGATAAATGATTCGTCAAAGATTAAAGTCTTATTATCCTCCTACTTTGCCACTCTGTATTTGCTTTTGTCTTGGGCTTATCCTTCGTCGTCAGTAAGTGGCTGCAACAGCACCAGGCATTCTATGCTTCATACAAGACCCAAAATTCAGACAAGAAGAGGAGGGGCATTTTGAAGTGTGAAGAAAACTTTCCCAGAAACCCCGGAATCCCTTATGCCTCATTGGCCAAAATTGCATCACATGCCTGTTCCAAAACCAGTCATTGGCAAGGTGAGTGGACCTGACATGATTGGATTAACTTCAACAGAAAGTCATCCTCAGAGGGACTGAAGAAATTGCCAGCCTTTTCTGAAGATCCTGGCTACCCCTTACCTAAACAAAATAAAAATTCTACTGGCACAATTGCTGTAAGTATTCTCATAGGTTAATATATGTAATTAATATCTGCAAGTTCCAAATGTGGCTACTAGAAGCATATTGTAAGCTTAAATGTGAACTTGTCCTTGTGCACCAACAGCTCCCATACTCATGTTCAACACATCCTGTGATGAAACTTAATTCAGCTCTATCCTGCTAGAACTCAAGCTCCAAACACAGGGATCTTTGTTTTGTTTCTATCAGTAGTGCTTAGAACAACACCTGGAATATAGTAGGATTCAATAAATATTTATTAATTGAAAAAAAAAAAATCTGATGTGAAGGGAAAAGGGGGGGGTTGGGATGGATG